TAGAGGTCCCTCGGAAACTAACGTGCATGCTTAGCTGGCACTTTTCGCTCATCGAGGCCACTGCCCTATTATTGTCAGTAGTTTTGGGAGACGACACCTTGGGAAGCAGAGCACAGCTACTGTTGCTGGACAGGGAAAGCAAAATGCCTGTACAAGCACCAGGAAGAATGCTAGAGCTGTCTCTTGGCTCCAAATTTACAGCAAAAAGAGACCAAGTCAACTGCAGTGCTCTTGCGAATCTGGCGCGTCTCTTGACCCTTTGAAGTCCGAAATTGGAAGTCCAGTTTTGGAAAGCATGCAGCTGTTGTTTGCCGAAACGCACTTGTTTGTGGCAAGATCACGCGAAAAACTAATGTGCAAACAGCATTAACAGTCAGGTGGGCAATTGTTTTTTCTCCTCAGTGCGGCTTCTCTTGATTGTGATTTTCCAACTATAAGAAGCTTGGTGCCGGAGAGAGCCACTTTCGAACCCGCCGTTTATCGAGCGACCGTTTCTTTAGCGGTGCTGTTAGGTCCAAACTGTAGCCATACTGAACACGTCTCAATCAAGTTGAGTGCAGCAGCAACAGCAAGATTGCCGGCAAGAATTCTTAGTAAGAACATTATCACAAGGTCAAACTTGGTCTTTCTTCTTCCAAAAAACTGAAAGACTTCTCGTGTGCATCTAATGGTTGAAAGACGCAAAAAAAGAACAGCTCTACAGTTGTTTTTTTCTAAGGAACGGTTTGCAAGCTTTCCAAAAGAGTGGGTCTGCGAAGCCTGTCCGCATTGACGCCAAGCGCACAGACGGTTCTCGAACACTGCCGCAAACAGAAAGCCAGTAATGCACTTACCAATCCTCCTTCCAGCCCTGCACCACTTTGCCGGTGGAGACAGCCGGGTGGCTTTGTTTTGCTTCTCTTGCACACGGTGTTGTTCGGTGGGTTTTGAAGAACAGTCTTAAAGAGCCAAACAGAAGAACAAACTTGGCTTGGAGTTTGTACAAGTATTGACAAGTGAAAATGAAGTCGCCACTTGTGGCTCTTTAGCTCGATTTGCAGCAACGCAAGGCTGCATCGATGTTTCAAGCTGGAGATGACCACCAAGACTGAGATGGACACGAAAGCAAGAGCTTTGTGTTCCTTCATTGGCGGTTTCATCAAATGAGCGAAGCGGAATGAAAGCGTGAATTGAAGCGCAAACTAAAGAAAGCGCAACACGCAAAACGAATGATGAAGCGTGCCCATATTTTAACAAGTAAAACAAAGTGCGCATCCTTTCATTCCATGGGTTTTGTTTTATTGCATTGATTTAGGCACGTGTTTGTTCTCTTTGGTGAAAGCGAGTTTCCGGGAGCAAGGCAAGTGTGAACGAAGCTTCTTCAGACTACCTTTGGAGACCGTTGCGATGTTGCACATACGAGAAAAGGTGCTGCCTTCTTGTCCCTTTCAAGAAGCTTGCGTAAAGAGGTCTCGCATGTATGCAGCTCAACACGTTTCTGTCGACAATATTCTCGCCTCTTTGCATTGCAGAAATCGCTTCAAGGCGCGTCTGACAAAGTATAAGTTGCATAGCCCTGTCTATTAAATACTTAGCAAGTCAACAAAGTCGTGGCGGACACCCGTACAAGTTCTGAACACTGAGTCTACTTGACGTATCACGAAGGCTCGTGGAGCGTGGGTGAAGGGAAGAGAGGGAGCACGGCAAGTAAGGCGGGCGGTTGCCGCCAGTGCTCTTTGCATTTAGAAGCTGCGCCATTTTGGGTGTTTGGCTCTTTGACCATCCAAAACAAGATTCAACGGATGCAACAGAACTTTGGGTTTCAGTGCAGGCTTATGTTGTCCGCTTGGCTTTCGGCCCAGGCCTCGCTTGGTTCCTTTACCGGGGTGTTCTCTTCAGGCCGGTGGCGGAGCAGCGAAGCATGGCAGATGGTCTCGCATCCAAGTCGAAGAGAGAACCGATGGGAAGACGGGCGCCTTTCAGATATTCATGTCATGTTCATGTCGTGTTTTCAATAACACGTGGTTTCGTTCCACTGACGCATCGGCCCAGCCTTAGGTTTTTAAGCTGTGCTTTGCGCTGGTAATTGCCTTGGTGACATCAAGCCTTGTCTTCACCATCAACATGACGACTGGGGCATTTGCGGTCGGCTCAATCGGAGGACAACTGCAAGATTCCATTGGCAATCGGATAGAGACGTATATGATCGGCAAAATGGAGCCGTTGCGAATCTATTTGCAGCAAGGTGTCAACATGATTGACGAGTTCAAGTGGAATCTGAGTCAGTGGGATGACCTGCAAAAGACGATTCCATATCAGCGGGCATTCTTAGAAACTTATTTCGACGAGTCGCGATGTTGCTCTGGACTGTGGACGAACCTTCAATACGATGATGTCGTGATGCTTTGCTGAATTTTGAGCATCGCGTTCCCATGCTTTGTCGGGAATCCAGGGTCTTGGGCCTAGGAATTTCAAAGATGATTCGGTGTTTGCCTTGAGTCCGATTCCAAATTCCGAAGGAAGTGCCATTCGATCGAGAATCCGGAGTGTGTTGGAACGGCAACCGGCTCAATGGAGTCGGAGATCGCCCGTGAAGACTTAGGTGGGGAGGCTCTCTGGGCAGGTGTGGTGCCTCTGCTTTAGCTGATGGAATTCGTTAGGTTTTTGTGTCGTTTTGGCCAGGGCAGATTTTGTTGGAACAATCCCCATAGGATGCGTTGTTGTGGTTTGGGTTGGGATTGGGTTGTCACGTGCAAGTTTGAAGTTCACGGTCAAGGTGCAGTATTCGGACACTTACACCACGGGCAACTATCCTGGCTTGGAGGCAGGATTTTGCCAAAGCCAGGGCCGAGTTCCCAATCTGCCACAGAATTGAACACCGAAGCATACTGCTGTTCGGGCTGCGGCACACAAACCTTGGTTGAGAAAGGAATTGAATCCATCATGTCCAGAAGCCCCAAGCCCTTGGCAGGTTTGCAATGGCACTTGCTTCAACGAGCACAGTGGAGACTTCGTGCAAGTCTTGCCCGCAAGGGTTTCTGGCGCCCGCAACAACACTCTGACTTTCCGGTGCTTTCGGCGAAAGACCATTTCGGGTTGTAGAGAGGCGACTGGCATCATGTCGTGCCCCGCAGGTGGTATGAGAAGAAGCGCTCCCTATCGCCATGGCTCGGTGATGAGTCCATCAGGCGCGTCGTCTCGCTTGGGATGGGTGGGAAATACTAAATACTAGATTCCTAGATGTCAGCCTAGCAGCAATCGCTCCTCGTGGTGTACTACCGCTTCAATTCAAGCTTCCGAACCTGCCAGCTCCGCTACCCAGCAGATCGTCCTCAAACCACTGTGGAAGCCAAGTCATTGAGATTAGGCACCGAGAGTACCAACAAACGAAAAGCTTTACTTTCAGCTCTGCCAGCGTGTCGGTCTGAAGTTCCGTAGTGCCGGAGCTCCCAACTGAGCGATGTGCTAGGTCCTGTCCAGAGGGATCTGCGTCGGGATGCAGGTCGCGAGACAGCTACTGGGCTAGAGAGTTTTTCAGATTTTCAGTTCCCCAAGCTTTATGCCCTAAACCATTCGTCACCCTACAGGATTCCTTTGGGACTTATACTGATATTTATGACTTATGACCAAGTGAGATCGCAGGTGCCGGGAATTGGGTGCAGCCCATCGGCTTCGTCCATTGGCCGATCCAGGATGGCTATTGGTGCCTTGGGTGAACTCAACAATTTGAGTAGGGTTTCGGCCTATGTTGTACTATAACTATACTACTATATTGTCGGGAACGACATGGGATACTATTCCGGTTTGAGGCGAAAGGAAGGCCAAGGACTACGCAGACACCCCATGTATAGGCTAGCGCATGCTGACTTTCTGATGTCTCAGCAAGGTACAGGGACATCCGCTACTACAACCTTTCCAAGGGCGAGGTTCGCTTTGCGACGCGGGTCTTTCCCTGGACCTTGTACCCTCCCGCAGTCCTTAAGTCCCATATGTGCCTTGGTGCGCACGAGTAATTTTACTCTTCGCTGAGCTTCTGAGCTGACTGGAAAGTGCTCCGCTCTGCGCCACTCACGAGGTTCACGCCCCTCTTCAGCCCCGACGGTGTCCTGATTGGTGGTTGGGTTGTGGGCTTCAAGTTGCACTGGATCACTTCCTATCTGCGGGACTTGGACAAGCCCGAGGGGACGTTTATCTTCATTGTCGAGCGAAAGACGGGGGTGCTGATATCTGCATCAGATCCACATGTCCCAGTCTTGAAGGACTATACGACGAGTGCCGGCATCCAGGACGTCATCCTTGCAACAGAGTGTCCTGACCGTCGGGTCTCAGAAATCGCCAAGAAGCTGCTGGACATGGCAGGTGGAGTTCCGGAGGACCCAGGGGTCAAAAATCCTTTATTCTTCTTTCCGTCTCCGCACTTGGGAATCTTGGACGGTCGCCCACCAAAAACTTATGTTCGAACCCTCTGTCAGCTGCATGAGTGTAGGTTAGGGATGACACTGACTTTGGGTGCCACGGAAACAGCTACCGTGAGATGGGCTTTGCAGTGGCTCTAACGGCCTTGGCAGCCTAAGATCAAACTAAGGTAGTTGTTAGCCAGTGTGCATAGTATCGCGCACACACAAGGCTCAATGCCGGCCGGCCGATTAATCTTCGTCGCAGTGTCGTTCACAACAGGTGTCCGCGTTGAGTGTGCCTGTTTGTGTGTGAGCCAAGCCGTCGTATTTGCAGGGTTATCTTGTTGGAGGATGTCTTCGAGTTCATATTGCTGTCTGTCTTCGTGTCTTTTGCAGCAATGCTTGCAGCATGTGTGTGCTTGGGAACAGGAGATTCAGGAGATGTGTTCGTAGGCCTCATTGTCTTGAAGATAGGAACGTATGCTCATTGTGGCTGGGAAGGACTGGAGCCGCGTGAGAAACTTGATCGGCAGGCCTGAAATTAAGACGACAGGCGGGGAGGGCAAAAAGCGTTGGATTTGGGTCCCTGGCGCGACCTTTTCCCGAAATCCCAGTCTCTCCCTGAGGCGTCGAGCCAGTGGAAGAGTTCGTTCTTACCCGCGACTTTGAGCACCAAGGCAGTGTCTCGTAGGCACTCGAAATCCCAGACCCCTACGACCCCGAATCTGCAGGCCTGGATTGGGTGGTGGTCATCGCGATTCCGGGGGAGACGATTTTGAAGGACATCAACGCAAATATGCTCCTGGCTTGGGGTCCGGGGTTGTGGATTTCAGCTTTCAAGTTTTTGTTGGTGGCCTTACGCCTACCTTCTTGTGAGAGATTCAGTCCACATGTCGGCTCTAGAGCCCCCGGGCACTGCAGTGCTGTGTATCCAAGAGGTAGAACTCGAACCCTAACTAACGTTGAACTACGAACTCAAGCAACAGCGCAGTAACCACAACACCAAAAACCTCGAAGATTCTGGATCCGTGATTCTAACATCTCCAGGGCTTTTTTCCCCCAAAAGAGGATTCAATTTTATGCCTTTGGTGAACGCCATGTCTTCGTCTTTGCTTCAAAGGCTCGTCCGACTGGTGGCCATCCTCGGTGCAACTGGCGGAATGAAGATCTTCTCTTCGGTGGTGCTCCTCAGCTCAGGATCTCAGAAGTCGCTTTGCCAGGTCGCTTTGAGGTGCCCATGCTTTCTCCCGTTCACTCCCCCGCCATCCCCCGCCATCTTTCGCATCTTTCTTCGGTTCTTGTCGCAGGACGCAGACAACTCCTCCACATTCAAACCCTACAAACTGGGTCTCTGACCATTAACCAGACACCCTAAACAACACGAAACTTTGTAGGTCTCGATGACCGATATGTTACTATACAACATATAGCACCGCCAGAGAGCAGCCATTCTTGCGACACAAAGGCTCACGGGTTTCTTGGCGCTTTCTGCCAAATTGTGGGGAGGCTACGGCGGCGAGGTTGGAGGAGATGCCGCCGGGGCGGATGGGAACGATGTCATCGATGCCGTGGACGCTCTACGTGTGTGAAAGACCCGCGAGTGCCGAACTCCCAGGGTGCAGACATGGGCACACCTTGAATCTGAAGCATCAGGTGGGGTTTTCTTGTTTGGGCAAGCGCTGCCTAAGGCAGCTCGCCGCTGTAGAGACCTAATGTTGTATGCCACCTTGCAAAGCAAGTCGTTGGCCGTTGAATCGTTGCTTAGGTTTAGGTAGGGTCTTCGTGGCGCTGTTTTCCAACATTCCTCCAAAGGAAGTGCAGCCAAGTGGATTGTGCACAGAGATATTGTCTTTCCGAGTCTTTCCATTTCTTTGCGTTGGGGGTGCATCCCAACACAGTTTTGAGTGTTGTGCCCGAGAGTTTACATCAGCTGCCGTAAGGCAGTTGTTGTGCCTGCAGTTGTTGCGCCTGAGAATGCTGAAGCAGCCGCGGACATGAGTGATCTAACATTAGGATGGTGTGGCTTCTAGACAGGATTCTTGTATAAAGAGCCTGTATAAAATCTTATGAGTGGGACTGCGGATGCAATGCATGTTTGACATGGGTATCGCTGCATGGTAAAATGTTCTGGGCCAGGAGCAACCTAGGAGCAGCTCAAGTATTTCGCGGAAAGTGTTCGATCCTGAGAACCCAAAGCTGATTCACTGATGCAGTTGCACTCGAACATGCTTGGCGAAGCTGGCAAGCTTGAGACTTCGGCCTGTAGGATGCAGGGTCCAGGCATGTCCCACTCCCGGGTTTTCTTGACGCCAAAGCTTGCAGTTCTCACAAGCTCCCAGGCAGCCATATGCAACCTCTCCGCCTCGAGAAGAGCCCTCAGCCTCCCGGTGAACCTTCGACCGAAGCTCCTCGAGACCATGAGGACATTGGCTCCTCTAACTTTGAATACTTTAAGATTTCCTAAGCCCGAGCCCCCGATGCAGAACCCCCAAACCTCAAACCCTGCACCCCAAGTCCCAATACCAACATCTCTGGCGAAGCGATGTTTGTGCGCTCTGATTGCCCATGGCATCTCCAGAGCAGCCAAAAGCCAGGTGACTTGACGAGGGAAATTGCATTCTTGCAGGTTTGGGGCTTTGGGGTTTAGGGTACTTTAGAGCATCTTAGGGTGAAGCACCAGCCTTCAATTTCCCAAGCCCCGACCCACATGTTCCTTCCCATTCCATCAGCGCAGGGCCACCTTCAGAGTGGTTTTGGGATGCGCCTCGATGGCTTCACTGGGTTTATGAGAATAAGTAATGTGGACAATTCCCTGGCACTTTGGAAAGTTTGTTGGGCTGGGGCTGACATTCAACACCTGCTCATGCCGGTGCTACGGCTGTGGTTGCAGCTGCTGCTGTTGCTGCTGCTGCTGCCACAACCCCAAGTCGAGTCGAGAGTTCCAGCTAGCCCGGAAGCTTTTGTTCATGCTTCTGTACCGGTCCCTTTACGTCCACATCCCTGGGTTTTTATTCGGCCAGGCCGGATTCGCCAAGAGGCCTTGGCTTTGGAGAGCTCGCGCCAGGGCGCCCGCCCAGACTCCAAGCCTTCCAAAGCATCTGTGGTTATCTTTTCTGTTGCGGGGATGGTCCTAACATTGGCCACGGCCAAACCCTAAACCCAAACAGCCGGAGGCATTAGAGAGCTTTTCGACAGCGTCCGCGGAGTTGTGGTAGAGAGCCAGGGCTCGGGACTCGGCTTGTCTTTTTCACGGCGTGGTACTCGACAGGGGGTTTAGTGTTTAGGATTTAGGGTTTAGGGTTTAACAGTTTAAGTTGCAGAGTTGTTCAGAGGGGTTGCTACAATGCTGTAAAGGTTCCATACAGGGATCTCAACAAGGGTTAGTCTCAGCTGTTGTGAGCCTTGCGACACGAGGAAGCCAGGTAGCCTTTAATTTCAGCCTGAAGCCCCCATCCCGAATCCGACCAAAAATCGGAGCAGCAGCAGCTGCTGCTGGCAGTATCCCATAAATGCTCAGGGTGACAGAGATCGGACCATTCTGCTTCGTGGGTGCCCAATCACATCTGGTCCTCGTGCAATTGAAACACCCGCTACCACAACAGAAGAGCTTAGTTGGACTGGGAGGCAGTCTGCTGCCTTTGAGAGCGGTCGTTTAGGCATGGGCAGGTTCGTATCGGAACTGGCCTGTGGCTAAACCTTCAGAGAGTGTGTTCCTTCAGGGCCTTTTGTCTCTGCAACAGCCAACAAAGAGCCGAAAACGAGGTCGCAGGTACTCGTGCCGTCCTCAAAGAGGAACAGGACTCACATCGTCCACAGTCCCTTCGCCGAGACTCGCGACAGTAGCATGTCTTTGCCTTTGTTCTGCGTGGAGGAGAAGCCTGCGGAGACACTCTCAGCAGTCAAGGTGCCGGAAAACAGAGCTATCGGCTCAAGCTTGATAGACAAGCCCCGAAACACTGTAGCTGAAGTTAGGACACCCGCGCAGTCATGCGGTTCTTCGTTGCTGCGGCTGGAGCCATGATGCCTTCCAGCATTCACGCACTTGTAGTCCAAAGCAGCTCGCTTGACTGTACGACTTCTTGTCATGCACTGTCCTTTAATATTGGTTCAACGGCCAGTACAGTCTCTGTGTGTTTTCTTTGCGGCAGCAGCCTTTGAATGGCCAAGGTCAGAATTCTTATCCTCAATGTGGGACAGAGTCGGGCGCCATCTTTCTCCAAGGTCCGAGCCCATGTCAGCATCCCACCATGTCCGGTAAGACCGGTAAGACCTCCCCATCCTTGACTTTGGATCTTCGATCCCTTTTGATCTTCTCCTGGAGGTCAGCCCACCAAGGATGCGTTTGATGACATTTACCGCTCGGCGGCTTGGGGCGGGGACGGCGTCACCAGCTCCAAGTCAGGTCCCTGAGAGACGAAAAGGGACCTGGGGGTGCAGCTTTGCTTGGCGATGTCATGGAAATCTGTGGCCTGCTTGTTGCGTCCCGTCAGGAACAGGCAGCTCTTGGGGCGTCGGGACAAAACTGCTTTGCAAGACGATCACTGAAGCCTTGATGGAGGTGGCAGCAGAGAGGAAGGCAGCAGGCCAGAGCGATTTCGAGCTGAATCTTCTGGATGCTCCCAGTGGCGATTTCTTCTGGATGCCCGGATGTCTGGAACACATCTCCTCCAAGCTTCCGGAAGGGGCCAAGCTGAACTATCAAGGAGTCGATGTCTCCACGGTGGCAAAAGATACAGCTGAAGGAAAGCGAGCGTCTGCGCAAGCGTCGCTGCCCAAAGTGAAGATCGAGCCTTTCCTTGCGATGGACCTTTCAGAAACGAACATCCTTGAGCGAACCTTTCCGGGAAAGAAGCTCCTTGGCTCGCAACGCTCGCCTGCAGCACGAGGCCCTTCACTCTGTTCATGCTTGTGGCCCAGGGCTTAACGGCTGCAGCATCAGCTGCCGAACAGCCCAGGTTTGATGTTATCAACTGCCACGATGCCCTTCAGCACAATCCTTTGAGTCAGGCATGTGAGGGTGAAAGGTAGAAAGTTGAACTGCGAGGGTGAAGTGTAGAGAGTTTCAAGGTTTCAAGAGTCAGAGATGTTGGCTTCAGAGTTTTGTCAAGGCCCCGAATTGCCAAACCCGACATAGTGACCTTGCTCGGAATCTGCGCGCAGCCCAAGTTGCACCCCCGCCGCCAGGTGAAGGAAATCGTTGCGAACTTCAACAAATGCGCCAATCGCCTGGTGGTGGATGTAGACATGGCCGGGACCAACGCGCAAGACATCAGTCCAGGACCGGTTGCAATGAGAACCCAAGTCCGGGGTTGTGGTCTCAGGTTTAGGGCGTTTAGGTCTGGCTAAATGCCTGACACTGCCTTACACTCTTTCAGCTCTTCGACGCGATTGGGCCTCCGCTAGTGAGCTTGAAGGAGAGTTCCGGGCTATCGACCTGACCGACGCCCCCTTCAACAACAAGCCGGACGCCGGGCCGCGCTTAAAAGGTTGAGGTGTGGAACATGGAATGCCATCCGCTTGTGAGAAGCAGACTCACCCAGGAATGCCTGGTGGTCAATCCCGACCCCGTGTCGGTTCCCGAAAAAGAGCACTTCGCCATCTTCAAGCTGCCTCTGACAGCGTAGAAATTGCGGTGTTGTGCATCCGTGGACAGCGCAACTGCGCGCCGGAGAAACATCCGCCGTCGGCGCATGTCTCGGGGATTCCTCCAACAACGGCAACCGTTGCTCTCATGATATCAGCATGTTGTCATCATCACCACCACGACGACGACTACTGTGACACTGCTGTGCTGCTACTGCATGCTACTGCTACTGCTTCCTACTCCTACCCCGCCTACTTTTATTCCACTGCAGAAGCTACTCATGCTGCTACTAGTACTACTTATACTACTACTACCACTACTACTACTACTACTACTACTACTACTACTACTGCTCCTGCTGCTACTGCTACTACTACTACTACTACTACTACTACTACTACCACTACTAAGCCCCTGGGCTCCAGCTTGTGAGAGAAATGATGTGTGAAACCGAGGCTGCTTTTAGCAACACGTATGGCCCGCTAGAAGGTTCTGGTTCCCCAACTGAACATGTCTGTAGGCTGCAGGATGGCATCAGATCCAGGGGGCTCCACCCATGCCCCTTGTGGTTTGTCCTCGCACTTCTTGCCTTTGTGATGCCCCCGACCTGCATGGCTCAGAGCACACCTGAGCCCGCTCCGTGGAGAACTGCTGAAGAGTCGGGGCCCCATTTGCAGCTTGGAGGTCCTTGCGCAATTGCAATTGCATTTCCTGTTGAGGGAGTATATGCAGGCAATCTGTCAGCGCATGCACCCGCGGGTATGTCTCAGGCTCGAGATTGGACAGTGAGTATAGTAAGGGTGCTACCATGCCGCCCAATCGCAGGGGGGCAACGCCCAAGGTTCGCGTGGTGCCCAAGGAGGGCAGAACGCCAAAGGCGAAGGCGAAGAGTACTATGGACTCAGACACGTCCACGAGCCCCAGCACGCGCAGACGCATCTGGGAGGACACCAGCAGTGAGCCTGGAGAAGCGGCGACAGCCTCAGGGTCGGTTCGGAATGGGCCGCCACCGCCGACGCCTGTCAATGACCCGACAAGGACGAGAAGCCGTTCCCCAGCTGAGCCCAAGGCAAGCTTCGAGGCGAAGGCTGGACCAGCGATGCCGATGCCGACCTCTGGGCCCCCACCATCAGGGCCTCCGCTACCGACACCAGCGCAGCCTGAAACGTGGCCTATTGGACCTACGCCTTTCTCGACCCTGGCAACCACGGGCCCCACAGATGCTCCGGCTCCACATGCTCCGGCTGCACCTTTGGTACCTCCTCCGATGTCGGCACCTATGCCTCTGCTTGGTTCCGGATCAGGGCATGGATGCCCGTACGTGCCCACGGTACCGGTGCCTAAGACAACGGTTACAGCTGGGGCCCTGGCGTCCGCGCCTGTTGCTGCTCCCGCTGGCCCCGGCCCATGCCGTCCACCAGGCTCCGTCAGCCAGGGCAGCGCCAAAGCCAAGGCGGTCAGTCAGACCAGTGGCGGCTGGAAGATCACGGTCATCATTGAGCCCCACAACCCGAGCTGAGCAGCCACGGCTTGAAGAGGATAGAGTGCACAGCCTCACATGGCATCTCTTCCTGGGACGCATGCACTGCTCAGGGGCTGGAAAGACTGATTCACTCTTTTGCTGGCGCACCCCTGTACTGTATCTGCACAGGAGCCTAATATCACACTATGTGTTGACAACTGAGGCCTTCCAAATGGTGCTGCCCATGGCTACCCTGGCAGGCCACTGTAACAGTGCTGGCAGATTGACAGCCCCCAGCCTTTGTCTCAGGGGGTGTCTCTGCGGCGCAGCCGCTGGCTACAACATCAGCCCCGCCGGAAGCCCCTGTAGGCATTGGCCCTCCATCAGGGTCCCTGCCCACATCACTCAGGTCAGACTCTGGGCTCTACCAGCCTCCAGAGGACACCGCCATGCGCAATGGTGGAGCGTCATGTACGACAGTCTCCCCGTCGCGGGCCCAGCCGAGTGCAGGTTACTCACTGCAACTGCCTTTGGATTGCCAAAGCAACCCCTGCACTCAGACAGCATTCTGTGGAGCTTCCAGAGGTCCCACCCGCAGCCCCTATCAGGATCTAGGCTGGGGCTAAGAAGCCGAGAGTCCCCCCGGAGCCACTGGACGCTGCACTCATCTGCAAGGCTGAAGAGCTGACAGCTGGTACGGACGTGACAGTGGTTGGTGGTGCGCATAGCAAAATACATGGCTACCATGCTGTCATTTTGAAGAGTGAGGACTCGGATGACTTTGCCTTCAACGTCCGCGTGCTGGAGGGATCGGCGGAGGAGCGTCGCAAGGTGTACACGATAGACCGTGCACACGTTGTCTACAGACCTCCTCAGGGTCAGGTTCAGGATGACGGGCTGGACGCGTCACTGCGGTGGAGAATTACACCTCCACCGTTAACGGTGTACTCTGCCAGGTGGCTGCTGGGGTGGCAGTCACTGCGGACCTTGGTGCCGCCAAAGCCTGAGAAGCACACTGGTTCTGAAGATGCTCCGGGAGACCAGGCTGCTGCCGACGGTGAGGCGAAGACCAGGACTACAAGGCTTCTGCCGACGCCCAAGATGAGTGCGGCGAACTCCTCTGCCGCAAGGCTTGGTGCTGAGGATGAATGGGTAGAAGTGGAGGTTGACCCCGAGGATCCCGAGGACTCTCACGAAGCTGCGGCTCTCCCCGCGGAGCAGCAATCAACTACTGCGAAGCCCAGGGAGTACGCCAAGCCGAAACCCAAGGAGAGATCTGGCCCCTCCCGACCTAGGTCAGACGGGGACACTGTGAAAGACAAAGTGGCCCAGCCCTCCCCGACGACTGCTTCTGATACCCCACCTCCAAGGCCTGGTACTGAACTGGCACCAGCTGTGCCCGAGACTGGCCTGATGACAGCTGCTCCTGCTGAGCAACCGGACGCTGCCTGGGCTCAAACCTGGGTCTGGAACCGCTGATATACCTGGCCCTACCTCTGGTGGCGAAGCTTCGAAGACTCAGATGAAGGTCCCTGCTGAGATCTCGGAGCCTCAGCCCACTCCCGCGCCTGCCAAGTGGAAACCACGCCGTCTACCCGGCTCAGCCATACAAGGAGGCGCGAAGACCCGGGCTACCAGCTCCACAGACCACACCACTACCCGTGGTCAGTCTGCTGCAGCCACTACACGCTGCGCTTCCCCTTTGACGGTCATGGATGATGGAGCTCCCGATGCCTCTGCCCACCACGACAA